TGCATCTACTCCTTCCTCCCATAATAGTGTTAACTCTTCTATCAAAGGAATCAAATACACATCTATGTCATTTCCTGGCTGTCTTGGACCTGAAATCATCATACACAACATGACATATTTGCGTTTCATGCATAACCATGGTGGAAGATTGTAAATCATCAATAAAACGGGCCATGAACTATGGTTACTACTTAAATTTCCAAAAGGATTCATCCCATATGTTGCTAATCCAAGTCTAAGGTTTCTTGCATCACTACCAAAACTTGGAAATAGACGGTCAAAATTCTTCCATTGGGGAGAGTCAGATGGATGTCGCATTTGCCCATCACATGTTTTTCTCTTTGAATGCCAAATTAAATTTTCAGCATCTTCGTGAGCGTACAACCGCCTAAATCTTGGAATTATTGGAAGATACCATAAAACTTTTGCAGGAGGACATTTTTTACCACTCTCCTGACTACAATCATCACCATCCTTCGCTTTGTAACATGATACAACACACGTTGGACATTGGTCTAAAGATGAGAATTCATTCCTGTATAAGACACAATCATTAGGGCAAGCATGTATCTTCCTATATTCTAAACCCATCAGACATAGTATCTTCTTCGCTTCATACATACGGTCTGACAAGGTGTTATTGTCTGGGAGCATCTCCTTCAAAAGTTGGAGTAATTCATTAAAACTTGTATCACTCCAACCAAATTTTGCTTTTAGATTGACCAATCTTAACACAGATGACAACCGTGTGAAAGTTGTACATCCGGGATACAAAGGTGTCTCTGAATCGGTCCTCAATGTATCATATATAGATGCATGTGCTTCAAGAAAGCACTCTTGACCCACATCACAAAGCATGTCCTCTATTCGATCTTCGCAGGTTACATCATCCTCAATAGTTTGTGATACTGTTGGAATATCAACCACTTCACTGTGCCATGTCCATATGGTGTAATTCTTCATCATCCCATCGCAAATAAGATGTTCCCGCGTTGTGTCCATCTCTTGTACTCTCCCATTTACACAATTAACGCATGGGCAATAGATTTTTCCATTCATTTTGGGAGCATTTTGTTCGGCAAATTTCAAAAAGGAGTCAACTCCATTCTCATACTCTTCTGACATGCGACTTGCATTGACCCAAGTTCGATCCATCTAACTACACAAAAAGGCTTGCCTAGATATTCAAGGTTTATTAGAAAAGGTTTAGCAAAACAATACAAAAAAATTTGTGTACATCTCATTTCCCACATCAAGATTGGGAAAATAAAACGTGTACATCTACATGAAAGAGTATATACCGCTTCGAAACCGAAAACAAACTTCCAAAATCCTAAACGAACCTATATCAAATCAAACCATACAAAATCATCCATCATCTTTCTAATGTTCATACGCAGGAAATGCTGTAAATAATCCATATTATGTTAAATGCATGCTGTAAATCATCCATACAACTTAATCTAACCTGATGAGAAGGGGTTTCCTTAGGGAAACGAGGGCTACCACACACATGGCAACAACGGGGGTACGCCGCGTAAGAGCGCGGCGAGTGGGCGGCGAAGGGGCGGCGAGGGGGCAGAGCACGACAGTGAGGACTGAGGCAGCAGACCACAGCGAACTGAGGTAGCAGTGCACGGCAGTGAGGACTGAAGGAGGGAGGTATGTGGGCACGAAGAAGAAGCAGAAGGAGGGAGGTATGTGGGCACGAAGAAGAAGCAGAAGGAGGGAGGTATGTTGGCACGAAGAAGAAGCAGAAGAACAACTTCGCGCCTTGGAGTCTAGGTATCATAGGACATTCAACGTCGGTTATTAAAAAACCCGACGTGGATAATGCTTTCGACGTCAGGTAAATCATGGAACCGACGTTGATTTTGGAATTTCAACGTCGGTTATACATAACCGACGTTAAATTTAAACATTTAACGTCGTCTGTCATCTAACCGACGTTATTTGTCCGTTACTACGTCGGATTTTTTATAACCGACGTTAAATATTATTTCTTAATTACAAGTTTGCCACTGCGTCTTGTACAACGTCGGTCTTCATAAAAACCGACGTTGGATGCTGTCGTAGTAAGTGTTTTCTGTAGTAGTGTTTGGTTCATCACATGACATGCAAAGTGTAAAAGCTGAAAATCATATTTAAAAATTCAGAATCAAAATTATATTTTAATACCATGTGAACTAACTTTCTATTATCCTCACTCAAACGAAGACACCTCTCATCTTAACCTTGCAAATTTGTCATCACATTTCTCTTGAAATCGTGTGATCCAAACCGCACCAATCCACTCTTCCATCTGTTACAGTACATCAACATAAACAAAGGTTAATAATTTAACAATTAAAATTAAAATTAATAATTAATTTAAAACAACAATGTTGATGATGAAAATAATGGTTGCTAATTATTTAAAAAAATATTAAGAACGAGAATATTAATTATTATTTAATAACTAAAATTTGTGTAACTAATTGATTTAAAAAATAAATAAACTTCTCCAATATTATGAACATCAATATCTATAAATAGAATAATTAAGATTTTGTTTCAATAAATAGAATTATTATAATGAATTTAAAAATATCAATATTTTTTTTAATATTATATATTGTTGGAGACGAAATAGACGTGAAAGAGAATTTCGAGAAGAAAGAGAAAAAATTAAAGACAATGTATAATTAAGGAATATATGATAATTTTTTATTATTTTTTTTATTAATTTATATTTTGAGAGAAAAAGTATAATTGAAGGAGCATTTGTCAGAGGACATATTTTTAATTGATTAATTTATTTCATTTATACTTGAGTGAAATTGATTAGAATATGTAATTAAATGAATAGAAACGTGAAATATTATTAATTTATTTTAAATCTTAAATCTTAAATTTTATTTTATTTTTTCTCTCTCTCCACTAGTTAGATATATTACAGTTTCTTTATCCACTCATCGCATATATCACACTTTTTTTTCTTCTCCTCTTATTCTTGATAAAAAAAAAAGTTATATTATATTATATTATAATGATATACTAAAAGTAATTATAAGAAAATAAAAATATTTTTTATTATATAATTATGTTAAAAAATTTAAGTGAGAATTTAACATTGGATGTAACAATTTCAAATTATGTTATTTTACTTTTAAACCAAATTAAAAGATTACATTTATTTTTTACTATTTCCATTAAAAAGATGTTAATCCTTATTGAGGAAACTATCTCGCTATATACAGAAAGAAAAATTATTCATTTATTCCGATAGTAATTTAATTATTATTTTATTCTCAATTGGTAATTTAACAATTAAAATAAATTATTATGTTATAATATTATATTAAAAAATAATGGTCAAGATTTTAAATATCCTTAAAAGTAATTGAGACAAAAAATAAAATCCTAATGCATTAAAAAATGTAATTAATATAATTATTTAGAATGTAACTTAATTGTAATACCTCTACAATAACAACCAATGTATGTAACTATTAATATAACAATTAATGAATGTAACTATCAATTCATCAGTTAATTTTAATTCCTCTGTATCAAGAATTAATATACGTAACAATGAATATAACAATTATATTACTCTTCACAATCTCGTTTTTCATGGAAAACGAAATATTCAGATATTAATTATCTTCTAATTAGAGATAAATCTCAGCCGGAACTTATGCGATGGTTTCTAAATTTTATCTTTAAATCAATTGGCTAATATTTTGACCAAAATTCTCTCATCTCGTTTTTTTAATGTAAATTTATCCAAGTTAAAATTAACTTATATATATCAACCTTTAACTTTAACTTGTGGTGACTAAAAAAGGAATACTCTATAATTCATGAGAGAGCATAATGCAATAATTCTCTTTTCTCTATTTTAAATATATATGTTCTAGAACAATATAGAATCAGAAAAGAATAGTACAATAAGCAGTAAATAATATAAAATATGATTTATTCTTTCTTTTTTTAATATTCTTTTTCCTAAGCTGTAATCATTGTTCTGATACAGAAATTATACCAATCATTTCCTCTTATTCCTTTCGTTTGTTTCTATAATGACATCTAAAAAGATAACTAACAAAATTATTTATATTATAAATATAAATTTGTTAATTTAAATTGATCATTGTCACGAGTTAAGAAAATACACCACATCTGGTTGGTTAGGTGCCTGCAAATGTAGAGATCTAAAACCAGTAAAATATATAGTTCTTAAACAGAAATGATATCGTGCTGCAACAAATGCACAGCATCTGAAAACATGAATTACTTATTTGAATATAATAATAGTATATATTATTTTATTAATGTTTTTAGTTGTTGATGTATATCACCCAAATGTTTTAACAAGTTTGGGCAAGAACGGGTAATTAGGACATTTAAAATTAGAGTTACACTATTTGAATTAATCATTAATTTGATCATCTAATTATAATTCCTTCACTTAAAATAATGAATTCGAATAATTTAACTGAAGATCTTAATTGTAAGATGACATTTTTTCAGAAAATGCGTGAGGGCACGATAGAGAAAGTGATGCAGAAGGATGGAGGAAACTGAGATGTCAGAAGTAAATTGTAGTGAGATTGGACTAGACTTTAAGAAATCGTGGTCCCCAAGATCTTAAATGAAATCTAATAATAGTAATAGATGCTCTTATTTTATTACATATATTAATTTAATTAATAAAATATATATAGGTTAAATGTTTGAGGGTATAATGATACTAGCTAACATGCAGATGGGTACTGTAGCTTATATATAGGTTAAATCTATTTTTAGTAGTACTGCTAAGTTTTAGGTTTATACAAGAAGGAAGGAGGGCTGTGAAATATCATTTCTCATTTGCAATTTGCATATCGGTCGAGTGTGAGAAGAAGGTTGAAGTAAGGAGTTACACGAGAAAAAAGAAAGGAAATGATGCGTCTATTTGCTTTTTGCACCAAGGCAACCGCATTTCACCATCAGCTTGAAAATCTCGAATCTTCGCCATGAAGTCCCCGCCGGCATCGCCATCACCCTCACACTCGGATGTCCCTGTGCAATCGGTGATCTTTGTGCGGACAGATTGCAAGCAAGGGCGCCCTCAGTGGGCGACTCCGTTGGAAGTGGTGGTGGCGTTGGTGTCATCCTGTCTCGTCGCCTTCGTGGCCATCGTTTATGTGATGCTTAGGCTGTGTGCACGTAATCCGCCACCGGCATCGGCAGCTGCAGCGACAGCAGCACTGCAATTGGCAGAGGAGCTGGTTGAGGAGGAAGCTCCTTCCCCGTCTACTTTGTTCATGCATGTTATTTTCGGTATATTTCTTTTCAAAATGCAACAAGAGTAGATTTTCCACCTCAACAATTTCAACCAGCCACCATCGTTGACAAACCTGATTGTTTTAATGCTGAATACCATGGAGATCAAAAAGGACAAGTTGGATATTCTCTCCAATTTGGGGGACCTGGTGGCCGGTGTCGTGATTGATCATCCCAAGATACACCCCTCGTCTAAAACTACAAACTCAATATAACATACTCTTTCTATTATACATTACCAACTCTCCAACATTCATCACTATACTTATTCATAGAAGTAATATTCAATGAAGCATTTTTATGCATTTTATAGTGTTATTTTTATTCTTCACCGTTACGTAATATAAAATGTTTAATTTTTTAAATATATAAATAAAATTTTATACATATATATATATATATATATATATATAGTCATATATAAATATTTTTTTCCTCATTTTTAGAATGAATTATAGCGGAGGAATATTACAATTAATTATTATATCCTTTGTTGCATATAACGATTCAATTTAATTAGTATGAATGACCGTTCAGTTTAATTTGTAGAATGTATTTAATAATGTTTTTGAGTAAAATATTTCATAATTGGTTGAGAATAGTCACAATCAAGTATTTTAGTAAGCTAAAAATAATAATATTTTTATATTTTGGAAACTGGAGTGTTGTCCATTTTATTTTTTAAAACTTTTTTCAAATTATGATATATATATATATATATATATATATATATATATATATTCAGATCAAACATTTATACAAAGAAAATAAAATAATATCTTCTATATTTTCGATCTTCATAATTTTTATTATTTTTTTTAAATATTCGTAGCCGATATCTTAACAACTAAAATTTAAATCTCTCTCTCTCTCTCTCTCTCTCTCATATATATATATATATATATATATATATATATATATTAAAGTTAAATTTTATTTTTAATTCTTAATAAGAGAATTTGATAACAAAATATTATACTAAAATTATTATAAAATTAACTTTAGAAGGTGGAATAAAATAATTGAAAGAAATAAAACTAAAAAAAATATTTTACAAAAAATCAAAATACTTTTTTTAGATTATTTCATTGATGTGCGGTACTTAGTAATTAATTGAAATGTCAAATTGCGTTACATTGAAAAAGAATAACTCCTTCAAATAACTAAAATATTATTTCAATTTAAAATAAAAATTTTAGGGACTTAATTATTATATTTCGTTAATTTTATTATCTAATATTTTTCTTACACATATTTATTTATTCTAATATAAGTTAATTGAATAACAAAATATGATAAAAAATATAATTTTATTTCAATAATTTAAATATTGGTTAAATATTAATTTGATGGAAAAAATAGCTAAAGGAAATTTGTTATTTTAATTTTTTTATTAAATTTTCTTATATTAGATACGTGTAAAATCTTGTATTATCTCCTATTTGTATATATCTATTAATCTGTTGTTGGTTGATCCGTTATTGATTTATGGACCAACCACATTAAACTGGGCCTAATATCGGGCCGAGAACAAAACATCTTGACCCAAGCACCATGGCATAGTTACGGTAAAGCGAATGCAAAACACGCAAATTCAGTTAAACTAACTCCCTCTAACTAAAACCCAAACCCTGAATAGCCAGCCAATAGTGGCAATACTAAACCTGTTCGTGCTGCCGCGGTTCCTCCTCTGTGCCAAGCCATGGCGTCCGTCGATCCTCCAAGGAAGAAGAAGAAAGGTCGATACGGCGTCGCAGAGCTGAAAACCCTAGGGAGCCAGCTTCTCTCTTCCGCTTCGCACATCAACAACCTCCCTCTTCTCCTCACCTTCCTTTCTCCTTCTTCTCCTCCTCACCACGTCCTCGAGTCCCTCCTCTCTCTCCACTCCTTCTTCCTCCCTCTTCTACCCAAGCTCCCTTCCTCCTCCTCCTCCTCCTCCTCCTCCGCCGCCGCCGACCAGTCCGAGTTCATCTACCTCACCTGGCTCCGTTCCAAGTTCGACGAGTTCATCAAGTCCCTCCTCGACATTCTTGCCTCGCCGCAGTCCGACGAGACGCTCAAGGAACTCGTCCTGGACACACTGATGGAATTCGTGAAGGTGGCCAACGGGGGCATCTTCCACTCTGCTTTGTACCACAAACTTCTTCTTAGCATCGTACGTTATGCCATATTTGTTGATAAATGTCGTTGTTTTTACTGTTTCCATCTGATTTTGTTGATTTTGAATTGGTGCTATCAGGTTCACTCCACTAGTTCCGCTACGTTTTTGGTGGATCTACTGGGGTCCAAGTATTTCAAGTACATTGATGTCCGGTATGGTTATTATCCTGACATTGTTTTTCTAAGCTAGTTATTTGTTCTTTTCAATCTTTTTAGCATTTTTCTTTGCTATTATCTCAGTTTATTGTTTATATTGTTTCATTCTTAGCCCCTGTCATGCAAGGCTGAATTTATGTAGCTAGTATTATGAGGTGGAATTTGTTAGTCCTTGATTCACTGACATGATGTTCCTGTTTTATTTTTTACGTGCATGAGTGTTTAGTGAATAGCTCATGTCGGTTATGGATTTTTGTTAGTTTGCTGAATTATTAAGTTACTTGGTGCAGCTATTTTACATTCATAAGTCTAAAAAAGCTGGCTACTACTTTGGAGGGCAAAGATGCCTCAGGTGCTTTTCTAGACTATCTTTTGTTATGTCAAATTGCAAACAGGATTCCTGTGTATTATATTTTCAATTTCCCACTATTTCAGTATTCTACATTATTCCATTGGATAATTTGTATGCTTATCGTTGTCAGATGATAAATTTACAAGTGCAGATGGCAGCGATGAAAGTCAACTAAACTCAAAGTAAGTAAGACCTATAGCCATTTCTTTGAAGCTACTTCTATTGTTTTCTATTTCCTTCCCTAGTCAAGATATGTTTGTAGATCATTGTAGTTGGTAGCCTATCGTTAGTGTAAATTCATTATTTCTTTTTCTTTGGTCATAAACCATGCTTACAATATGCTGTAAGCCTATAGGCAATATATTTATTTTTGCAACTCATTGCTCTATGTTGCAAATTCAAAGTTGTAATTTTCTGATTTTTGTCGGGCATTATAGGTCCAAGTTATGAAACTAGGAGATCAATAATTTACTTTAAATAACCAAATATGGATTTTGTTCTATTGATAAGTTGAAAGTGTACTGTTTTCAGCATGGAATGTTTCATCCACAATATGTATTATACTATATCGCATGTTCCCCCTCTTCAAGGCTCAGATAATACATCTGATTTGGAAATGTGGAGCGGCAGCTCAGGTGACTTCTCATTTACTTGTTAGGCATTTTGTTTTCTAAAAAGCTATGTATCATAATATTTAGTGCTATTTCTTTTTAGATTAAGGAATTATAGAAGTGTACCTGTATTTGTAATTTGGGTTTTTTGTCCGTAGAGAGTGACCATAAGCAGCTTTCTGGAGATTTGTGTGCGAATGATAAGCTGCTGAAGTCCAAGAAACCTAACAAAAATGTCAGTTATTATTCCATACTATTGACTGGGATAAATATTACTCCCCATTTTTTTTTTCATTTTGAGCATCAGTTACCCTCCAATTTCCTTGTCTCTTATCTTTATTTTAGTGAATTTATTTAGTATAGAGCCTTCTTATTTAAAGCTTGTCATTGTTTGTCCACTTTTTCGTTTTTTTACTGTCTATTTTCATGTTACACTTCTAGGTATTGTCAGCAGCCAAAATTGCCAAGAAAATGAAGTTAAAATTTACTAAAGCATGGATTGCGTATCTTAGATTGCCACTTCCACTTGATGTTTACAAAGAGGTAATCTACAAGTTATGCTTTTGAGATTTGAGTATAGTTGAAACATGATATAAATGCCATATTTAAGATATCTCAAGGTTGTCATGAGATTCAATGTAGGAGCAGAAGGGAGAAAAAGCACAAATGATGGGATTGTAACCTGGATAGTATGATCGTAGTAGAAATACTACATGTGTGTGTGAAAAATCATCTTTAAATCACAATTAACACCTAACTCATTTAAGTACTGATAGTAGTCATTACTGTTCATATGATCTCCATTGTTTGGATATAAAATGAGAGTTAAAAAGGGACAACTGCTGGTTAGTTAGTTGGATTAGTTAGAAGAGATTTGGTCATAAACAGGGAAAATTTAATCAAAGGGAGCATTCTTCGAATTTGATAGTTTGTGTTAGTGAAATGAAAAATCCTTTTTGAAGGGGAAATCCTAGGAGAAAATTGTAATTTTCATTTTCTGTTCTGTTCTTCAGTAAATACATTTCTAATCTTTTGGTTTTCTCTCTCTAGTTTCCATCTTACTTTCTGCTCGGTTCTTCAATAATTTTCTGGAGAGACAAATTTGAAAAGGTGGATAGCTTCATTTGGGTGGTGTTTCACATGTAGAGATTAGTGATTAAGGCAAAATGGTGTTTTTTTTTAATAAAAACAAAAAACAAACCATTTTAGGCTGGTTTGTGAAAGTGGATATCTGTGTTGATGGATCTGTAACTGAGAAATGCGGATCCCTTGATTTTGCAGTTTTACCTAACAATCTCACATTGAGAACCAAAGTGGTTTGAAATTCATTGGTTCCTATGTTCCTTCAAGTAATGTTGCAGTTTTAACAGCAATGATCATAATATTTGTAAATGCGGTGTAGTAACCTTTTTATGCATCTACGTCATGCCTTGCCTTTGAGAAAATTGGTTGCCCTATCATTTAAATACTGGGACCTTACTTTATTATTGATAGATCTGCCAGTAAGTTTTTTTATCCAAAAGAGATTGTGGTTCTGGATTCTGGATATTATTGTTTTTTCTGAAGTTAAAATTGTTTCTGTATGTACTGTGTCTTTATTCCTTAATACCCCTTACTACAGAAATTATGATCTTGAATCACTACTAGCTAGAAGTCCGATAGATACACATTGGTTAGATAGTTACAACAGTTTAGTTTGTCAAATAAATAAGGCATGTTGCGAATAAATAAAGAAAGCTAAGAGAGAGGAGCTGTCATTTGTGAGAGGAAATTATGGCCTTTCTAGTAAAGATACCAACTTTCTATAAAATTCATTATTTCACCCTCTTTTTTTTTTACTTTTTTTTTTGCAAAGAAACAGATTAATTCAGTTTGTGGCATTTTTTGTTTTTCATTCAGAACCTTTATTAACCTATGGAATTTAAATAGTCTTCATCTGGTCACAAACACCTTAGTTGCAATAAGATCTTAAAAATCAGCTATATGTCATGGGTAATGTTAAATGAACTATCCAATTATGAACTGTAATCATTCATTGGGTTGGTAATAGCTTGTTGTTGTTATCCCAATACTCAAAACAAAGGCCTTCAAATTCAATGAAGGTAAACTACTTCAGTAGTTCTTCTTACATGATGGGCACGAGGAGCATATTCAAGGGATAAACTTGATTTTAAAAGAATATCACTATATGATTTAATTTTTTATTATTTGACTCTGTTAATATGCCAGAAAATGGCTTGGAATATGGTAAGAATACTCCTTATAAGACTTTCTCACCTTTGAGCTAGCTTTTGAGATAGGCCTAGTCTTTTCCTTATATGGTATCATAGCCTATCTAGCTTTCATATTATGTCACTTTTTGTGAATGTTCAGTCTTGTAAATTTCACGTCTTAGAAGTTGGAAGTATAGTCTTGGGCATGAAGGGGTTGTATTAAGATGTCTCACATTGACTATGAATGTGAATATAACCCTGTTATGTCAGAATTGTGTTTTCCTGCTCTTTTGAGGCAGTGTTTCGAAGTGAATTGGCACCAGTCCATTTCTGTTATGGTATTAGACCTATCCAGATTGGGTCAACTACAAATGTCCAATCTTGCAAACTTGTAGATATTCAGTCTTCAACATGAGGGGATTGTGTTAATATGTCCCACATTTATTAGGAATAGGGCCAGGATACTCTGTATATGATTTGGGTAATTGTCCTCCTTTGAGCTAGTTTTTAAGAGTAAGTTAGGTCTAATCCATTTTTTAATAGTCTATAATCTTTCAGGACCTTGTATGTTCATATGTTGTTTACATATGTACCTGCTTGCTTATGTGCACGATAGGATTAATATGTGCATACTTCTTTTTTTATTTCCAGGTTCTTGTTAATCTTCACCAGGCTGTAATTCCTCATCTATCTAATCCGATCATGCTATGGTAAGCATCTACGTTCTAGAAACTTAGCAATTTATTATGATAACAAGATGTTGAATCTGACATCATGTTACTTTATTGTGGCAGTGATTTCTTAACAAGATCATATGATGTTGGTGGTGTGGTCAGTGTGATGGCTCTCAGCAGCCTTTTTGTCCTAATGACCCAGTATGGATTGGAATACCCAAATTTCTATGAAAAGCTATATGCCCTCTTGGTTCCATCTACCTTCATGGCAAAACATCGAGCAAGATTTTTCCAGGTAAATGTTTTTTATTTAATTTTCTAATTTATGACTACTAGAAATAACGAAAGTATAATTTTGAATAAAAAAATGCTTTCTGTTCAGTTGTATGAAGGACATTAATGTTATATGAAATGTTATCTTTTAATTATAATATTTTTAGGCTTTCAAATCTGGATAAAGGAAATTAAGTGAGTTGGTAAGCCAAATTTGTGGAGACTGAGTGAATGATGTAAAACCTATGCATGAGCTGCTTGCTAACAATATGCAATTTCCTAATTGCAGCTTCTTGATTCTTGCCTCAAGTCACCTCTTCTTCCAGCTTACCTGGCTGCTTCCTTTGCAAAGAAACTGAGTAGGTTGTTGCTTTCAGTTCCTCCTTCAGGGGCATTAGTTATTACGGCTCTGATTCACAATATTTTGCGCAGACATCCTTCAGTCAACTGTTTGGTGCACCGGGTAAATAGAGTTTCCATTCATCTGATTTTTTAATGTCTAATGCTTAAACTTTTGGTTTCTTGATTTCATCTTCAGTGTTGGAGACAATGTTTCTAAAACCTAATTGGGCATTGAACTTCTGAAGACAAGGATTTAATATTTGATGGTTCTTAACACTATAAATTATAATGAACATCATTTTATAGTTTCTTAACATTTCACATAAAAGACCAAGTCAAATACATCTTTATAATTAGGTTCAAGTTTGATCAAAATACAAAATTGTCCATTAAATATGAAAAATGTACATCTAGAATAAAAAGAAATAACAAATTACTATAATATAAAATTTAAAAAAAATCAAGATATAAAGAATTGTAAATTAATGAGTGATTAAATTGTGTTTTATAAAATAAAAATTGACAATAATTCGTAAAATAATTTATTCTGATATGTTATCCTTATTAAACATGTATTTTTATTTGTCTTTAATATGTTTTTAGTGAAATTTAAAAATAAAAGTATTTGTTTTAAAAATACCAGTTCAAACCGGTTATGGACAAGTTTTCACTAGCTCTGAGTTGAATCAGTATTTTGGAATAACTGAAGCTGTTCCCAGTTGAACCAACCAGCTCAGTTTTAAAAACAGTGGATGGATGAAGATGTTATTAAGGATTGCATAAAATATTAGGGTGCTAGGGAAAGGGAGCAGATCAGTGATGCTGAAATTATAGTCTGTTGGCCTCATTATAAGGTTGCTTCTCCATTTGGAAGACAGTATATGACTATATGTCATGTTCTGGACTGACTATTATGTTTGTTTCAAGTTATTGCATTTAATATGAAGTTATTCAACCGTAGTCTTATATTGGTATTGTGGATTGATTTGTAGCTTAATCATGTAACGGCATAGATATGAAAAAAATAAAAAAATTAGCTTTGTCCTAGAACACAAGATTACAATGCTCCAGCTTTGAAATTAATTTTGGCATGGCTTGGACAACCATATATTTAGATGAACTTTTCTTTTCCTGATGTGTTGTATATAGAGTAAATAATTGCCATTGTCTGATTTCGTGTTTGGTCTATTCTTTTTCTTTTAGAGGTATCTAGGACACGGGATTCTTGGTTAAGAATGGTCTAGCGGGCTAGGTGATTGAATCTTTTGAGTTGGTCTTATGTGGAATATTATGAGAGAAATATAGAGAGTAGAAAGCAAGTGAGACTTATAAATTAAAAGGCTTACAAGGGAGCATATGCGTGAAGTTTCAAATGCTATGGGTTTACTTTTACTTCAATTGTCATAATTTCAGCACTGAGTTTCCCTAGGGGACTGGACCTGTCAAGTAGTTAGTAGCTGCTTTGTGTAATGTACATTTAGAATGGATTTTGCAAACTGGAAGTGTACATGTCAAGAAAGTAGTCCTCTTAGAAGATGGTTAGGATATGTCTGTTAGCGTGTAGAAAATATTCCTTTGTTTCTGTTTTTGACCGGATTCATAATTCTGATATATGAACAGGAAGATGGTGTCGACGAAGGGAAAAGTGATCATAGAACAGATGAAGGAGCAGCTGCCAACTCAGATAATGTCAAGACTGGTGCCGTACCAAGCAAGAAATCAGGCATTGACCATTTTAACAGTATTGAAACTGATCCCAAGAAGTCAGCTGCCATGAGTAAGTATCTTCGTTATCTATTTTCCAATCTAACTTCAGTCTAGTTTCTGCCCCAAATCAGACCTTGCGAATGCTGGAGAACTGCATTATTGTTTTGTTTATTGTACATCACACACCACACATAAACACATAATGTTTCTTAACTGTATACTAGAGAAAACAGATTAAGCATGACATTATGAATCACAGCTTAAATTTTCTGCATCATTGGATTGATGATGCATTCAGATTTCAGAGTAATCCCCCTTGCCTGGCTCTTATTAGCTTGAGTGTACATAACTTTTATGGATTGTTTGGTTAAAGGAGGGGACGGGAAAGGGGGATTTTGATAAGATATCTTGTTTGGTTCACAAGGAGTGGAGAGAGATTTTAAAAATTAACTATCTTTTATATCATTATTATAATAATTTTAATTTTGAATTACAATTATTGGACAAAATATTTGAAAGCTTTTAAATATCATCCCCTATCCTACAAATCCCCCAATATTAGAGGAGAACAATAATTGGATAAAAAGTAGTATTGTCAAAACGGGTAAATGATTAGTGGGAATACTTCCCTCTTAAAAATTGAACCAAACAAGAAAAGCTAAAAAAAGACCATAGGTCTGAGTTTTGGGTATCATTGGGTGGATCAATTGCGCTGCCCACATGACTATTCTGTAGTAGATTAGATCCCATAGTTTTAATAAGTATTTAAGGAATTCAAGTCAAGTAGTCAACTATATTTTGGTAATAGAGTTACATCATATTTCCTGGTTTTCTATACTTGTTTTCCTGATGAGATCTCTTGGAGCAGGGAGTTCTCTTTGGGAAATTGACACTATTCTTCACCACTACTGTCCTCCTGTCTCAAGGCAAGTGTTTTGAACTTTCTACTTTACTCATCTTTTCTTTTCTTTTCTCCCCAACTATTTTTTCAACTGTCGTATCTGGATCTTGACATGCTAAACTTAAATGTTATGTAATTTGCTTATGCTCTTAGGTTTGCTTTGTCTCTTGGGAATGATTTGACAGTGAGGGCCAAGACAAGTGAAGTTAATGTGGGTGATTTTAGTGCCGGTTCATATGCAACAATCCTTGGAGCAGAGGTGATATTATAAATGCTCTATTTTTTCTTTGCTTCTCATGACGTGCTGATGTTTGAATTGTAAGAGGAATTGCTCATTGTCTTGTATGCGTTAACTTGCATTATTGCAGATGACGCGGAGGGTAAAGCAGGTTCCCTTAGCATTCTACAAAGCAACTCCTTCCTCTTTGTTTTCAGAGACTGATTTTGCTGGTTGGACTTTCAAATGTGAAGAAACTCCCGAAATGATCAATGACAATAATGAGAGCAGTACTAAAGATCTATCGTAACATGAATGGTGTTATTGAAACGACATCATAGAGTGTTTGCGATTCATTTTTGGCCTCTTCATTAATATGTCTGCATGTTATGTGACTTGTTTGCTTTGTTATGTTTATATTTATTCGAGGTAGCATAGAAAAGGGAGAGGAGGGGTGGGCAGGGGATATGTTCGGGTGCGCCTGTGACTCGGTACTGGAGCATAAGCATAAATTACATTGAAGGATTAGGTTAAACAGTCAGATTATAATTGCAGTCACATTTTTTTGTTCTAGTATAATAATTTGTTCTTCACTTTATAGCACATTACTGGGATCGTTTGTTGACGCGTGTGGTACAAGGATGCCACCAGTTTTCATACAGGAGTGCAGGGTTTTCTTAAAACGATGTTTCTCAAATTTTGAAATACATTTGGAAAAAAAATTAATGCCAATGCAATGACGAACTGTGTCAATTATTTTGGGAATTCATTTTTACTCGTTATAAACTAATAAACACAAGTATTAGGTTTACATTCTATGCATAAATTATAAATTATGTTTTTAAATGTTTCTTTTAGCTTTAAAAAATAAATGGTAGTAGGAATGCATACGAATGTTCTCTATCTACGTATTAATAAGGTAAAAAAGTGAGAAGATGAGTTTTAATCATTTTTAAAATATAAAAAATATTAACAAAATTATCACTAATACTGCTAACAATTTTTTTAATTTCTGTGAAATTTATATATGGACAAAAGTAATAACACCTAACAAATTCACTTATAAAATAATTATTCTTAATCAATCAACAACCTCTAACTACGTATATTTGGGTATAATTCCTCATGCAAATAATGTAGCTTTTTCTATATGTAGAAATTGAACTCATTTAAGAGATTTTATAACATCTCAAATATCCTGTTTAACCAATTCAATTATAGTTCTTACCTAAAAACGTACAATTGTTTTCTGTTTTATTGTTTTATTTTTCAAAAAAAATAAAAAACAAAAAGTCCACTTAAGCAATATGTGGATAAGCACGTCAAACTTAACCTTAGGCATACGAACAAAAAAGCATGGTCCAAAATGTTTTTACTTTCCGCCCTCATTTTTACCAATATTCAAGGAAAATAATATAGGGTTAAAAATGACTTGAACTGATTTAAACTTGACTCAATAAAAAAAATGATTAATTCTTATTTTTATTCAAACCAATTTAGTTAATTTTTATATGATTTTATTTATTTTGACCAAATAAATAAATAATATAAATTTAGCAAAATAAAATATTATATGTATATATATATATATATATACACACACACGTGTGTATGGAATTAATTTAAGAATAATTAAGTTGAATTGTATGGAACTCAATTTTTTTCTTGTCACAAGTCTCTTTTAGTTTATTAATTTATAGATTAATTTCGTTATCAAACATGTTTTGACATATGACCCAAATTTCTTCATGAATTCATTATTTTCCCGTGAAATGAAATACAAATTTAGCTCATAGTAAATCAAATACATCAAATCAATTGCGAAAGATGAACTTATAGGTCGAATTGAATGCCCCAGCATAGACAAAGGAAATTTTGCTGTTTTACCACCGTTCATTTCATTATTTGCAGATCCAAATTCCAAATACGCCACTAATCAGTCACGGATAGGGTTGCGTCGTCGTTCAAAGAAATAGGGCAATTATGAAGCATGTCTGAACCCCAAATGACGTGGAGTTTCAATTCATTCCTCTCTCTTTCTCTCCCACACTCTTTACTCCATCCCTTATGGTCTCTATTAAGCCATTCTCAGTTTTTGTTTCGTTGTTTCCTTGTTGGCATTCAAAGGGCCACACCTTCACTTTGTGGTTCTCATTCCTCCTCTCTTTTTTCTATGGCTTTTCTGCCTTCCATCACTTACCAGTCTCCATCACTCACTCTGATATGATAAATATATGATGATGGTGCACCTTCACCCACTATAATTCTTCCTTCCTGTTCCCCCATTTGTCTTTCTCCCACAAGTAAGTTACTACCGTATTTCTTTGAGATGTGTTGAACAGTGTTTTTTTTTTGTGTTTGGAAAAATTAAGAGCATCATAGGTGGAGGTGTACAACGATGTTGGAAATTTCCCTTTTTTGGTGATCTGTCTAATTTTTCAATATTGAATGTTGAAGTTCCGCTTGCGATGATGGAAATTGTTGTTGGGCGTGCCAATTTTAGGTCAATTTAATTGAAGAGAATGGGATTTCTATTTATGAACATTGGTAATGTAATCTGCATCTGTAGTTTTGAACTTCAAACTTGAAGTCTTTATGATCACAATAGTGATGATGTTGTTCAATTATCAATATTCACTTCCGGGTATTGAAAAGGGACGAACAGCATTTTGAACTGCTCCATGGTTGTGGTTATCAATTGACCATCCACAGTTTTATATAAATAAGAAAAAATATAAATTTCACTGATCCAATTGTTTAGGTCCTTGTATTTCAAATATTTGAATTATCTTTCCTACTTAAAATTTTTAAGTATCTCTAAATAAAAGAATTTGTGATCAGAACCAAAACACTGACAATATGATGCTTTGAAGTAATATGATTGATTAATGGGAAAATTGAGACTTGACAGTTAATTACGCTTGAATAGATGCTGTTTGAGACTATAGCGTGCATAGTGTTGAATAAATGCTGATATTAGCAGATATTTGAAATAATTTGTACCGCTGGTGGATTTGCAGAATTCATAAGAAAACCTTAAAAAGCATGCTTAGTCTTGACTACTCTTGTTGGAACTTGAATATTCAAGTTTATTGCGTTTTTATTTCCATAAATAATCCACTACAAAATGATATAGACTTCACCAATTCTTTAACTTGTCCGACTTACCCTTAAATATATATGAAATGAAACTTTCATTTATACCACTCTTGATTCTATGATGATGATGATTAAGACTGAAGGACTTATGTAAATTCTGGCTTCATTTTCTCAATGTCATTTTCTCAATGTTTTGCTACAGAATTGAAATATTCCAAGTGAAATGAACGCCAGGTCTATCTCATTCTTCTCCTGATCTTTATAATGGCACTTGCTGCAAGCAAAGTTTCAAGCAGTCCTATTGTGACTAATAGAACAGCTCTCTGTAAATCACATGAAAAACATTATTTTTCCTCGTCAACAAGGATCAATAGAATACAATTTTCAAGGCATAGACTGGAACATGGACAGCTGAACTATAGATGTCTCTACTCTCAGAGATCAACCTTATTCAATGACACGTTTTGGTTCGTTAACGGGAAACCAGTTGGTTTGATCTCCAGGAAATCTTCTATCTCATGTAAATCAACAGGAGCAAATAATACTGAAGAGAAAGAATGTATTACAACTTATGACGACGTTACTGACTTAACTAGGTAAGAGAATTAAAAAAAGATGGTACATCTGTTGCAATTTGTTATGCTGTTTCCTAATTCTTAACCTATACCCCTTAGTTAATGTCTTTCAGTTGCCAATTGTATGTCAAACTAGCATATATCTTTCTTACCCTTTGACGACAAATTCTAATATTATCACAATAAAATATCTGAGATCCAAATTTACACATTATAGATCCTTTCATATGTACAGGACACATGCCAAAGACGAGAAAAATGATCACACTCTTGTTATCCGTGGCTTGGCTGAAGCTTATAAATTTGTTTGTAACGATGCAAAGTTTCTCTCACGGTACTGTCAGTAACCTGTTTTGCTCTTATACAAAAAATATTATTTTTGTTTGAAATGTGCTTCCACTTCTGTTCATGGTTCCACTTTTTATGAACTGCATGATTATCACTATACACTCAATTACTCAATAAAACAATGTTTTAACTGGTCTAGATATTTTAGTAATCAAGACATGAGGAATTGTCGGTTCATTCATGTAGTTGTATAATTTACACCATTAACTATCTCTCATTCTAGAAATAACAGTAAAAATAAAATTGTCTTTATGCAAAAAAGTAACTGTTAAATACTTCTTTCCTCAGTGGCATAATGAGGCTTGATGCTCGTGCACGCCAAGATGTTGCTTTCCTTGGGACTGAATTTCTCAAGCTGGATGGTTAGCTCACTACCTTAAATAGTGTATTATTGTACTTCAACTTTTTATTTCAGTTATTCATCCAATGAAACAATTTTTTCTGTTAGAAATGATAATTTTCCAAATATCTGCGCTACAATACAAGTAATTGAATTTCATACTCAAGAACAGTAATATCCTCCCATGGCAGTTTATCAAACCAGCATCTGTAGTTCAGGAAACTATATAATTCCATCATTGTCAATTGGTGATTGCTTATTGTCATTCTCCTTTCTCTAGTTATGTGTTGAACTTCTCTTCCAATGACTTCCTTTTTCTAAAGGGGAAGGTTCAAGAGAGCCCCTTTGTCTATAATTCATTCACATGTACCCGTTATAGGGTCAACTTATATTTACTTTTGTTTTGCTGCACAGCTCGGGCAAGAGAGGATACTGAGAAAATTGACCGTGACGTAAAGGAAAAAGCTAGCTGGCTTAGTCGAATTGCTACTGTTTGTATAATCAGATCTTCAAAATTTGCTAGTTGAAGACGAGAGTATACAATGGTGGTAAATTTTTTTTTTTATTTATAATATTTGCTTTGCAGATACTAAAGGATAAAGCTCAGTCCAGATTGAAAAATGCTGCTGATGAGCATTGGAGTGATGGGGCCTTAGAGGTAAATTTGTTCATTTATTCTCTTAGTTTTCATTTATAAGATGCTATTTGTGATTAGTTTGGTATAAAATCATTACTGGTAAAAGTTGCATAATTTGATATTTTTCTTTTATATTATTTTGTTTGTACTGTACAAGATAGGATTATGAATGAAGTCATTAAAGAGAAAGTTAGGCTAGCACCTGTTGTAGGAAAAAAATGGTTGAAGCATGTTTATGGAAGACCTTAAAACTGATTGTCATGATTTTCAATAGAACATTTTGGCATTGTTTGATCTATGTATTGTAGCCTACTCCATTGCTGTTGTTTTCCCTTGCACTATTATTGACGCTGTTTTTGAAAAATGTATAGGGTTGGTGATTGTTGTTGTTTTCTCTTGCACTATCATCTCTGTTATTTATCGTTTTGCATCATTGTTGAAAAAAACTTGCAAAATAGCTTAAACATAGACCTGTTTTTCTCTTCGCTTTAACATGGGTAATCTTTTTTTAACAAAGAACTACATTCATTTGTCGACATAAATAAAAAATGGAAGACAAGTTGTTTTGCTATATGATTTGTAAGACTTGTTATGGGCACACCTTGGGAGTAGCATGATGATAAGCACCCTGGGAGAACCAAACCACAAAACTATTCATTTTAGAATCTCATACTTCAGTCTTCAAATGTGGCACTCAAATCCCTTTCCTTGCAATTGGATCCTAACGTGTGGTCTCTTAAACATATTTTTTGGGACATCTATAAAATTCGTTTTTAAGGCATTTAAGACAAATTTTGACAAGGCAAAATTTGAAGTTCAATCGTCCCAAGCAATTATTTATTAAACTAAATTAAACGTTATTATGTTGATATTGTGTGTAATTTATTAAGACATAAAATCTATATTAGAATTTCTTTTAAAGGATAATTTTAAAAAATTGACTGTAGTTGAGATGTGTGCCCAATTTTTTTATAGGATTAATTTTACTGTCAACCATGGTTTTTACCTTGGAATGGGTGCCACAGTGGGAGGAATTGATTCTGGCATTAAAACAAACAGGTCTTTACAGGGTGTATGTATCTTAAGTTTTATATCATTATGATCTGATTCTGATCCCAATTCTATGTGAAAGATGTATACAATAATCTTTGCGAAACGTGGTATGGTTCAGTTTAACCCTTAAAAGCATAGACCAAATCAAATAATCCTTTTATCATTTTCAACTGAATCTAATAAAACTGCTTAGTATAGAAACTGGGTTTGGTTTGCTTCCTATTTTGTGTACACTTTTATATGGATTGCTGAATCCTTTTGCATGTTTCCATCGTGAAAATAGTGTTTGATTACACAAAATACATATGAATAGCCAGAAAAAACAAGATCCTATTGACATAACTTTTGAACTGTCAGGCTGATTTACGTCTTGCTGACTTCCGTGCTAAGCAACGTGCAATGGAAGATGCCCTGATGGCCTTGGAGGTGATATTTTATGCTCTTCAAATGTTTTCTATTGAACTTTTTAGTGTTAAATTTTCTCAAATTAACAGTTTGTGACCCTTGCTAACAAGCATTATTCTGCATATGCTATAATAATTAATAAACATTCTAATTCTCCACAACTTATTTCAAAATGTCATGCTCTTTTTTTAAGACTCCAAAGTAATAAAATTACTTTCTATTTTTCAAATTTTGCAGCTTATCAAAAACATCCATGACAGGATGGTGAACAAGATGTATAACTTGTAAGTGAATAAACTTCAAATGCCTTCTTATATGTATAATAAGCTCTAAAAAATGTTTTATATGATGTTGCCACGTAGTCCACTTCGCAGAGATAAAGGATCTCTTTCAGAAAACAATGTAAGAGGTCGAATAATGCTGGAAAAGAACGGAAAAACCACAAATTCCTTTCCTGGGGATGTGACCTCAGAAAGGATTGCTGCTCTTCAGGTCCTTCTTCTTTTCCATTTTGTTCTAGTTCTGTTTATATATAACCCAGTTCACCCACATCAGTTGAATCAGGAAAATTATCAATCAATCATATTCAAATATTTTAAGACATGCAGGAAGCTTACTGGAGTATGGCATCAGCACTTTCTGAAGCAGATGGAATCGATTATACTGATCCCGAAGAGGTTTGATTCTCCATTTAATTTTGTTTCTGTCTAATCTTCAATCATTATTTACATACTCTTTTCTACTTGGAGCAGCTTGAGTTGTTGATCAGAACTCTTATAGATCTGGATGCAATGGATGGTAAACAAAGTGTATCTTTGTTGGTAAAGTGCTCCAGTTCCCCCGATGTCAGCACTAGGTGAGCTTCCTTGGATATTACAATCTTTCAAGGAATTGGATTAAATTCTTTGCTCTTATGGTATGATTGGAAGGCCTGGAAAGGGATGGGAGGAAAATAACTAATTTTCTTTTCTTCCATAGTCCGGTAGTACTTGAAAAGGTGATGAAGAAAATAAGTTGTGGGACCCATCTATATATTCAATCCTTTGAAATTGGAAGGAAAAGCAACTTTTGTAATTGAAAGATTATTTTAACCTTATCTTTACACGCTCTATTCTTTTATTAGGGACATTTATTCCATTTTACATATATATTTAACTTTATATTCTACTAAACATAAAAAATCATTTCACTTTCTACTACTTTTATTATTCCTACTTTCTTCTTTAAAATTTCTGGCAATATATAACTAATTGGAAGGTTAGTTTGTTAGTGCTTCCATACGCCATGATGATATGTTGGCGTCATGATTTGATTTTGTATTCTTCATGTTTAGCATTTTCATTGTCCTGTCATAGCTGCAAACATTCTAAGTATTGAATTAAAATTTCCTTGACATTAAGTTATGCAATATTGGATATAGATCAAATTTATAATGGTGGGGTGAATGTATGATGCAAAGCTTCTCGCGAATAATCTACTTCAATAGAAATAATAACATTCACTTGCAAAAATAAAACTACCAAATAAAAAAAAATGCAAGAATGCAACCTTAGTCAGTATCTTATTATGCTTTTCCTTGTTTACTTTCATTTTGTTGGCTTTTTTATTTAATATGTGCATGTGTGTCATGTACATTTTCTAGGCGAGCTTTAGCCAATGCACTGGCAGCAGCACCATCCATGTGGACTCTTGGAAATGCAGGGATGGGGGCATTACAGGTAAGTGATTACAATTTTGTTGCAAGAAATAAGTACTGTTACAGGAAGTATGGCTTCATTTTTTCCTTTGGTTTGTATTGCAGAGACTGGCAGAAGATAGCAACCCAGCCATTGCTGCTGCAGCATCCAAAGCTATTCATGAACTGAAAAAACAATGGGAAATAGAGGAAGGCGATAGCTGGAGGTTTATGATGGACGAGAACAACATGGAAGAAAAAGGAAACAGAGAATCTGATAATAAGGAAGATAACAAATGATAAATAATTGAAAAATTGCACTGTACAGCATAGTTGCCTCCCAAATATACTAACTAGCATAGGATTAACCCACGTAATCACTAGAAAGAAAACTATTAGTAGTGGAAGATACCAATATGTTGGGTATGTGCATCATAAAGTGCAGAGCTTTCCTCACATTCATAGATCAGAGATGCACATTTGTGATTATACTGGTTTGTGTGAAAGAGCGTTCCGTAGACATATTGCTCAGTTACTCTTTCATCTGCTACAGCGCTGGAGTTGGGCCGTCATTATCATAATATATATGATGGAGGCACCTAAACGCTGCCCAGTGGGGTTTTGTTGGTAGTAGTACAGTACCAAGTTGTTTGAGCACTGCAGAGAAATTTCTTCCCTTGATGTTAGATTATTTGAACATTATTAGACAAAAAGGGTTGATACTTAGTGCAATCATTGTTGAACTTAATGTCTACCAAGAAATGGGGTTTTGTTTTACCCCTTCATTATGTGACTGAACAGATTATAATTATTAACTTGATGTTTTAATACCATCTTTTGGCATGGTAAGGAACCAAAGAATATTGAACATATTTGCCAAGAAAATTGTTGATCTTAAATAACCATTACCCTTAACTGATTACCATCATTGTTTCTAATAAATCATAACCTGCCACTTCGGCTGATAGGGTAACTATGATATCAGGTTTTTTAGAATCTCTTAAACAAAAATCTGCAGCTTAAAAAGAATGTGAATAACACCATTGGGATACTCCTTTTACTATTGATTGTAAGACCACATGAACAGTTCGCCAAAAAAGTACACATTCTGTGTTTATTTAATTGATTATCATTTCTTTTTATTCTTTAGAGCAACTAAATTCATCTCACCCCTGAAGGAGTCGCTTGGGGTTCATGTGGGGCAGCCATTGTTCTGCTATGTCACGGTGTTAAAAAAATTCTAATCATGTTTCCCGGCTAGTAAACGTGGCCTAAAGTTGTCTTCACCATCCTTTAATTTCATTAAGGCATCAGTTGGTGAGATATGATTTGATCATCTCATTAACAATCTCTTTGCATCTTAAATCCAGGAATGAACTTTTCAAAAGCTAAAGAAATTCCGGACCTAAAAAGCAAAAGCTGGGGGGGGGGCAAGACTGTGATCCCACATCAAATTATTTCCAATCTTTATTCATACAAAAGACCTTAAATCACTGTCACAGCCCCCAATTTGATTTAATCCCTTCCCTCCTTTCAGCTCACTTTTTCTTTTCATTTCAGCCTTTTTATCATGCCAACCACTTTTGCACCCTTGTTCCATCATTTCTGCCCTTCACTTTAAAATTTTCAATAGAAGAATCCCAAGTTACCCACGATTCCTCATGATGATTTCTTTGTCCACCTAATAGATGTAAATATAAACCTTCTCATCAGAGAGAGTATTTATGTATATTATCCTGAACAAGAAAATGCCTACATAATTTCTCTTAGATAACTACATAATTGATAGGAAATATCTGTCAACTTTATTGATGTTTAGTTTTTGTTTAAACAATTGATTGACAACTTTTATTGGTCCCCTTCCTAACTATATAGTTCTTTTTTTACTTATTTGAATCTAAGACTTTGCTTAATGAAATTGAGTTCAGTATTACTCATATAAACTATTTGTTTATCCAAACTGAATAATTTGAATGTTGGGAACAAGTACTCTAACAAGCAATAATAATTTGGATTAAAACTTGAATGAATGTGCAGAGAACCTAAACTGAAATCTCATTGGATCAATGATAGTAATGTGAAAAGGATGAAGCATTAAGCAGAAAACCAGCACATACATTGTTCAGAAAGTCATATTGAATAATGAGTTGTAGAAGTTTATGCGGTTGCTAAGAGCGGATGTTTAATGAGTACTAATGGTTGTGGGCCAAAGTAGAACATCACATATGTGTATGACCTACTGGCCATTTTCATGGATGGTGGTGGGGACCATCATGCGCGTGGAGTGGCCCAACCCAAATTCATCGAACAACAAGGACTGTCTTCTGTTTAATTAGTATTTCTCTTTCTTCTCTTTTTCAGTTTACATTTTTCTTTTGCTTTTCCCTGTAATTTGGTCTTGTCGTGAAAGAGTGCGTGGATAACCAAAACACTCTCACCTATCTCGGACTCTCGTCTCTGTACTCTATCCTTCCCGACGTTGGATAATCAGATAGAAGAGAAATAGATCAATTAAATGCATAATTCATGCTTCTAACATTTTCAAGAGAAAAATATTGTTTTTAACCCTATCCTCTTTTTTTTTAATTATTGCTGTCAGTTATGAGATTAGATTAATAGTGAATAATGTTGATAGTTTAAGTTATCTCTTAAGTTTAAACTTTACTTTTATCATAATATAAAATAATTGTTGATTTAAAAAAAAAAAAACTCATACAGAAGATGATTTTTAATTGATTCATCATGCACAACTTTTCACATAGACATTGTATGAAAACTAAGTCCATAGATATTATAAGTTTAATTAAAATACACTAACAAATTCAAATTGTTTTACATTATCATTTAAATCATAGGTTATCAACTATTTTAAAATTTTAATTAATTAAAGGGTTAACTCTTTTTATAATTGACAACGTATTAAAACCAGCGTCTTGTTTAAGAACTTATTAAATTATTAAAAAATTAAAAGGAGAAACTTTTTTTAGTTATATAAGTAATGTAAAAAATCATAAAGAGCATTTATTTTCATCTGTTCCAACAATTTTTTTAATTCCTTAACCAATGTAAGGGAAACACGAATTAACATTTGCATTAAAACTAAACTATATAGTTATTAAGGTAATTTATGATATTGGGAAATACGCGTCTTTGTCGTAGCTTTGGTCTGATATAACATCCTGCAACTTCCAAGCGTGCATTCATTTTGGATGGATAAATAATGAGCATAATAGAATATGGTGAGACAGATTAAAAAAAAAAAAGTATTTATACAAGCAATAATATTAAAAGGTTTTTATATGTCGGGTGGCCCCTGAAACAATCTCAGATAATAATAAAATATAATATTTCGATCACTGCGAAGATCCACTTTAACGGTGCATATTACTAATACAGTGTGACAGAATCAATTCACTAACAACACGTTTCTCAGAGTCTGCTTCTCTTGCCAATTACTCATTTCCTGTTCTTCTCTAAACTTGAGAAACATATGCACTTCTCTTCTCAATCTGTTTTCGCTTCTATTTTGTCCTTTTCATTCCCAATATCTGAATCTCTTAGTGTCACACACTACACAAGTCACAAGAGAAAACAAAGGTTGGAAAGTGGAAACATCTATGGCTACCAACAAGTTTGCAACGATGTTACATAGAAACACCAACAAGATTGTGGTGATTCTAGTGTATGCAGTGCTTGAATGGGTCTTGATTGCACTCCTTCTTCTTAACTCTTTGTTCAGTTATCTCATCACAAAATTTGCCAAATGGGTTGGCCTCCAACCACCGTGCGTTTGGTGTTCAAGGGTTGACCACGTGCTGCAGCAAGAAAATGGCGCGCATGTGGACAAGGATCTCGTGTGCGAGGCTCATGCAGCTGAGATTTCCAAGCTTGGTTACTGCTCAAATCATCAAAGACTGGCGGAAACGCACAGCATGTGTGAGGATTGTTTGGCCTCTCGGCCAAACCATCAAGAAAATTCCTTTGGAATGCGGCACAGGATCGCTTTCATTTCGTGGGTGAGTAGTCATGGCAAACATGAAAGTGGAGATAGCTTGATAAAAAGGTGCTCTTGCTGCAATGAGAGCTTGAGCAGCCCGCTTTACCCTCCTTATTTGCTATTGAAACCTAATTGGGGAGATGAGAATTACACGAGCAAAAGATCCCTGATTGTGGAAGAGGCAATAGATGATGAAAAAGGTGATAAAGACCTTGACTTTGAGAGAAACAATGAGGACGATCATGACGATGAAGGGGTGGCAGATGAGCATCAGATACTTTCTGATATTGAGAGTTTTATCCTCAGAGAGGTTGCTGAGGATCGTTCAAGTTCTGTTTCAAACTTGCACTCAGATGAGAAGGATGCGGAAAAAGATGATAAGGAAGATGATCTTACCATTAATGAGCTGGATCCAAGTGCTGATTACAATTTTGCTTGTCAATTCACTTCCACTATGCAGGGTTCACTCTGGGTTGATAGATCACTTGAAGTCATCAATGTGCATTTTGAGAATTATAAGGCCTGTGATAGCCACCGCTTGGTACCTGTCAAGTTAATAGATTCTATTACCTCTTTGAATGTTGAAACTTGCAAAGTGGATGAGGATTTGGGGTATAGGGAACACAAGACTCAGACTCAGACCTTTGTTGATGAGTCACCAATTGAAGCACAATCAAGTATCTTAGAAAGGGAAGGATTACTCACAATACATGAGAATGCAGAGAAAATAAGTGTGAGAGAAGTTGAAAGTTCGGAAAATTCTATATCTTCAGAATTTGAAGGGTTGAAACATAATTCAGAGATTACCACTAGGGAAGCTCAGACTCGGCCGAAAGATGACAACAGTATTGAAGCAGCTACTGAAGAACTAGGTGATAAACAAGGTGCAAGAAAATGCATGATTTGTAGAATTTCTGCTACTTTACTTATGAACACTAGTTTTGCTCACGTTTCCTATTTTTCTTTTTTATTATTATTAAAGTCAGTCCTTGAAAACAAAAGGCACAGTATGCTTCTGTTGAGTGATCCTATTTTGTATATGTGACTATATAAAATAACATTTTTTTTTGTCATGCAGTTGATCTGCCTCGATCTCAGGAACCAGCCTGTTCTAGTGAATGCGCACAAGAAGATGAATCTTCATCAAGTGAAGATGATGCTGAAGTTCAAAATGCCTTTGATGAATTCATTGCTCAGAATCATCTTAGTAAGACTCAAAGTTTATCTAATGATGACATCAGTGTGGAACCAGCTATACAAGGAACAGAGAGTCCATCAGGAGGTACAAGGGAGAATACGAATTTTAAAGATGAAACATTGTCCTTATGCACTTGTGCGGTTTCTTGACTCATAGTTGGCTTCTTCGTTAATAATAAATGCATATTTATAAGAAGAAGAAAAAACTTAGCATACTTAATCATAACTGTTTATTTGATTGCAACATTTCTCACACAGCTACCCTGCCTCCATCTGAAGAACCAGCCTGCTCTGTTCTATGCATATCAGAAGATGAATCTTCTTCATCAAGTGATGATGATGAAGTTCAAAATGCCTTTGATGCATTTATTACTCAGAATCATCTAAGTCAGTCTCAAAGTTCATCCAATGATGATAAAAATATAGAAGCAGACATGGAAGAACCAGAAAATCCACCAGGTACAAAGAAGTGCATGAATCTTGTTTTAAGTCTCATAGTTGGCTAGTTCGTTGATTATAACCCCAGATGCAATGAGAAACAAAAAAAAAGTGTAGCATACTTGAGAGACAATGTCCTTAACATTTATGATTTCGGTATTTGCTCACACAGCTAATCACCCTCCATCTGAAGAGCCAGCTTGCTCATCTCAATGTATACCAGAAGATCACTCTTCCACAAGTGAGGATGAAACTGAAGCTCCAAATGCCTTCGATGAATTCATTGCCCAAAATAATCTCTGTAAGTTTTACATCCAGTACCTTGTTTATTATTATTATTATTATGGGGATGGTGGTGATGATGACGATTTCAATTTTGCTATTTATTTATTGGTTCTTTGGTGAGCAATGGTTAGCAAAACCGTTGTCCTTTTACCTTCTATAATTGTGAAGCGCTTAATTCTAAAAGAAATGCAAAGATATCCATTTTTAATATCTTTAAACTCTTATTGAACACTGACATTGTAGGTCCAGATAAAACAGGTGTAAAAAATAACGAGTATGTTAAGATCATTGAGAAAACAACAGCAGTTGAGAAAAATCATGAAGAAACAAACAATGAATCATCCAAGTGCTCAGAGCCATACGAAGTAGAAGAAGATAAACTTCCTGAGACTCCTAGGTCTGTAGAGGGCCTGCAGTACATGCTTAAAAGAGAATCAGTAGCAGATGATTCTATGGATGGTAGCATTGCAAGTGAGGTAGAATGTGGTGATCCAGTATCAACAATTGACCGGTTAAAAACGGTTTTAAAAGCTGAAAGAAGGGCCCTAACAGCTATATATCAAGAACTAGAAGAAGAGAGAAGTGCATCAGCAATAGCTGCCAATCAGACAATGGCAATGATTACAAGGCTGCAGGAAGAAAAGGCAGCAATGCAGATGGAAGCATTGCAATACCAAAGGATGATGGAAGAACAATCGGAGTATGATCAGGAAGCTTTACAGCTTTTGAATGAGTTGATGATGAAAAGGGAGAAAGAGAAGCAAGAACTTGAGAGGGAGTTGGAAGAGTACAGACAGAAGGTAATGGACTATGAAGCAAAAGAGAAGCTGAGGGTGCTGAGAAGAATGAAAGATGGAAGTGTAAGGAGTAGAGACACCTCTTCTTCTTGCAGCAATATGAACTACACTGATGATCTATCCTTTGATCTTAACCGCGAGGTGCGCGAAGAAGATAATGTTTTATTATTCAACCAAGAGGGAAGCAGCCACAACAATGCACCTGAAGATACAGTTTCTAATTTGGAAGAAATGGCACTAGACTGTGTAAAGCATGTGAGTGCTCTTGATGACACATTGGCAGAATTTGAGGAAGAGAGGGCTTCCATTTTAGAACAGCTCAAAGCATTAGAAGAAAAGATCATTTCATTGGGAGATAATGAGGAACTCCTTGATAATATCAAATTCATTGAGCATTCGTCAATGTATTATGGTGGTGGTGACAAAGACTCGAATGAGAATGGATATTTTGATGGGTTTTCAGATGATAAACACTCTCCAATAAGTTCCTTGGCAAAGAAGCTACTGCCATATTTAGATGCTGCTGAAAATGAGACTGAGGAAGCATACACACTAGAGAGACAATTGAAATCTGAATCATCTGATATTCAAAACTCAGTTACTGTACTTGAAATGGATGGCATGAAGACATCCATTGAAGAGGAAGTTGATCGCGTTTATGAGAGATTACAAGCTCTTGAAACAGATAAGGAGTTTCTACAACACTGCATGGGTTCCATACAAAATGGTGGAGAGAAAGGAGTGGATTTGCTTCAAGAAATCTTACAACATCTTCGTGATCTTAAGGATGTGGAACTCCGCCTGAAGACTTTGGGAAATGATCCACTATAGTGAACTATGCATTCACCAACCAAAACATGTAGGCATAAAGTATGCACATATATAAAAAAATCATGCAAAAATTCTGAATTATTTCACTCCTTGGTCAATGCAGATGTTGCTTCATGATGAATGCGCACATTTTGGCTTTGTGGGAACCCATTTCTCACCCTGCACCATGCAGACCTACCTTAACCAAATTTTGTTGGCAAAAACTCAGAAAATTTCTCCAATGGAGGGAGGGATTTCTGGTATCATGTGCTGCTGCCTTGTTAATTTGTTAAAAAAGAGTTGAAGTTTGTTCATATCGAAAGTGTCAGCTTGATGGGCTATCTGCAAAAAGTTGTGTTTAGCCCAAAATTTTGCAGGACTTCGGAGAGCATCATTTGGTCTCCTCAACTTGGTCCTATTTCTCAATGCATAAAATCTGCATAATTTTTTATTTTTTTTTTATCTTTCGTTTCCTTACCCTATGTTAGGTTTGTTAGGTGGGAGAAGGAAAGTAGTGAAGTTGTAGGTGAAGAGTGAAGAACAGGGTGTTAAAAATATGGGCTTGTAAAGCTCTGTGCAAAATCATGATGTATAATCTGTATCTATTTCTTAATCTTGTCTGTTTTTTTTTTTTTTCTTTGTTTACATTTGTTGTCTATGGTAAGCCATGTTTCATATTCTTTCAGATATAATCTACATTACTATAGAATAATTTGCTTTCAGATTTTACCACCGATGTTGAAGTCGAAAATGAGCTGATAGAAAAAAAAAAAACAAATATATATTTTTTCTAATTGACACCATCACTACTCATTATCCTTGAAATTGTATCGTATTCGAAAGGGGGTAGGAAGATATTGTTATGAAAATAATGATAACACAAAAAATAAACACACTTGTGGTGAATGCAATCAAAGGCTATAATGAGATATAAAAGGAGGAAAAGAAAAAACACAATTAATATGTAAATGGAGACAGACTATTTTAATAAACCACAATTTAGATCTATTTAAGAAAATGCACCAAATATATTTTCAAATTCGTCTAAATTAACTTAGAGTTTAATTGTGGATTAAATTGGGTCATATACTAAATTATTTGTAGAATATATTTATAGTTAATTAAATTAATTAATTAATTTGATAATTAAAAATATTGTTATTGTGTAAGAGAATAACTTATATACTTAAAAATTATATAATCTGAAATTGATTTTTTTTACTAAGAGTCAATTAAAAAAATTATAGTGTGTAATTATAATTGTATAATTAGTAGAATAGTAAGTACATTATAAAACCTTTATTATATTTAAACAAGAAGTAATTTATTATACGAATTAGTGTTTAAGATTTATTCTTTATTTTATTATAATTTAAGATGGATTACATTTTTATATCATTATATTACCAAACATTAAATGATAAAAATAACAAGAATTTATGACTCTTATTCTTAATAGAGTTGTTAAATAATTATATATAGTTGAAATACACATTTTATATTACAAATTGATTTTAAAAGGTTAAGTGCAATATCTTTTTTTATTTTTAACATCATTTCAATTACTTCAATTATATTAAAATATTATATTATCCATTATTGATTATTGAAATCAAACACAAATTGAATTTTCATTTCTAAGAAAACATCAAATTAATTAGTTATTTAAAACATCAATTTAACAATTATTTTTCTCCTTCTTTAAATACACATACATTAACATATGTATATTATAATGAGAAGTAACATTCACTTACTAAGAGTGAGTGATTTATTCTTCATCATTATCATTAATTTATTTAATTTAATAATTTAAAATAACATTATTTTTAAATATTATTACTTTTAAACATGTTTCTTTAATTAGTTATATTTCATGGAAAGTGAATATGTGTTTTTGATATGAATCACAAGGGGTAATTTAGGATTTTTAGGGTTAAAACCTTGTAAGAAATTTAGGAATTAGAAAGAAGGTGGAAGGAAAGATTCACTCTTCCCAAGGCAACACACAAAGGATATGACAGTCCTTTGATACAGCCAAGGGTTCTTGAATCACTCAAGAATTTCGGATAATCACTCTCACTAAGATAAAAGAGATAAACTCTAATATTTCTGAATAAAATTTCACTTGTTATTTCTTGATAAAAATGGTTCAGCTGATATAGAAGCGTTGTCATCAGAATTACAAAAGACTCAATAAAAGAAAATAAATATTAATAATAACACATTAATCTAGGAATTGAAAACTATTTAATGGAAACAAATAAAGACTAATAATGATCCATTAGCCTATGAATTGAAACTACTTAATGACTGATTGTATCTGAAACTGTGGCAACCAAAAGTCAATCAGTTGTGTACCCCTTGGTCTCCCAAAGGCTGTTGACTAAATTTTCAATTGGGCTCTTATTACAACTTAAAACAAAATCAAACTAAAACTCATTAATTGATTAATTCAAAACATAATTTGGTCAACAAACAATATTTGTTGAAGAGCTTCCTTTATTTCCCTTGCTCTAGCCCTTATCATAGGTCATGTTCACATCATTCTCTCCCTCTTGAAAAGGATTTGTCCTCAAATCAAATTCGCCATCTACATAAAAAAGAGATAAGTCTGACAAATTGAATGTAAATATTATACTCACTTTTTATAGCTAAATAATTCTCCCTCACTTCAAGTGTTTCACTCTTCTTTTGATCACTCTTTTTCCTCTCAGGTGTTTCACTAACGCTTTCTTTCTCTCTCTTTTCTTGAAGAAGTTTTTCTCTCATTTTCTTTTTATGCTCACATACTTCTTGTGGACTCAAAGGTTTGAGCACAATCTTCTTGTCTTGGTGCATGAAAGAGATCTTGTTGGTGAACCCGTTATGATTAACTTTTTTATCAAATTGTCATGGTCTCCCCAAAAGTAAGTGACTGACTTCCATAGGAATAATATCACAAAGCACCTTATTATTGTATTTTCCAATGGAAATATCCACTTCAACTTGTTGTCTCACTTGCACCTCTCCATCCTTACTAAGCCATTGAAGTTTATATGGCCTAGGATGTGGTTTGATAGCTAAATTTAGCTTTGATACTAATCTAGCACTAGCCACATTGGTGCAACTACCTTCATCTATGATCATCATGCACACCTTGTCATTGATTAAACATCTAGTGTGAAAAATATTTTTTCTTTGGCTTTCTACCATAGGTTTCAATTGACTATCAAGTAATCGCCTAATCATCAATAAATCTCCCTTTGGAATCTCCTCCTCCTCCTCAGTGTCTTCACTCTTTTCTCCCTCTTCAACCTCAGATTCACTTATATATTCTCCCTCTCTAAGAATCATGATTTTTGTGTTATGGCACTCATAAGCATAGTGTCCTAGGCCTTGACACTTGAAACACTTCACATCTCTATTTTTTTTAGAGGGTTGTTCTTCATATTTTGAATGAGTCTTTGTAGGAATAGGTGTGGAACTACTAGAAGTAACAGTCCCATCTTTCTTGCCTTTGTCCTTCCAACTTGAAAATTCAAAGTTGGTAGAACTCTTCTTAGTCATTTCTTTTCTTTTGAGTTGTTGCTCCAGTCGAATTGCTTTATGAAGTAAATCTTTCATATCAACAAACTCCTGCAACTCAACAATATCACATATATCAATATTCAAACCACCAATAAATCGGGCCATAGTTACTTCTTCATCTTCTTCAATCTTTGCTTGAATCATGAGCATGTCCATTTCTTTGAAATACTCCTCAACCCCCATGTTGCCTTGAGTAAGTTTTTGGAGTTTAAATTTCAAGTCCCTTGCATAACTAGCCGGCACATACCGCTTCCTCATGATCCTTTTCATCTCAGTCCATATATCAACCATTGACTCTTCATTTCTATCTCTCTCCTTTTGTAGCTTGTTCCACCAAACAAGAGCATAGTCAGAAAATTCCATTGTTACAAGTCTCACATTTTGGGTCTCCTCATAATTGTTGCATGAGAAAACATGCTTTATTTTCATCTCCCACTCCAAGTATGCCTGTGGATCACTTTTTCCTTTGAACGGAGGAATGTTAAGCTTGACTTCTTCAAGCCTACTTGGTCTTGCTACTTCATAATTCATTCTCCTATTTTTCCTTTCTTCTTCGTCTTCAGGATTTCTATTCTCCAACCGGTTCAATCTTTCATGGACCTCATTGTTATGTCGTATCATTAATCTTTCCAAATGTTGTACCAATACTCTCATTTGTAATGGACTAATTCCTACTTCTTGATTGTAATTTTCCTCTTCTGCCATCAATTTGATGTTTAAACCCTTAAATCGGGGCTCTGAATACCAATTGATATGAATCAAAAGGGGTAATTTAGGATCCTTAGGGTTAGAACCTTGTAAGAAATTTAGGAATTAGAAAAGAGGTGGAAGGAAAGAATCACTCTTCCCAAGGGAGGCAACACACAAAGGATGTGACAGTCCTTTGATACAACAAAGGGTTCTTGAATCACTCAAGAATTTAGGAGAATCACTCTCACTAAGATAAAAGAGATAAACTCTAATATTTCTGAATAAAATTTCACTTGTTATTTCTTGATAAAAATGGTTCAGCTCATATAGAAGCGTTGCCATCAGAATTACAAAAGACTCAATAAAAGAAAATAAATACTAATAATAACCCATTAATCTAGGAATTGAAAACTATTTAATGGAAACAAATAAAGGCTAATAATTATTCATTAACCTAGGAATTAAAACTACTTAATGACTGATTGTATCTGAAACTGTGGCAACCAAAAGTTAATCAGCTATGTACCCCTTGGTCTCCCAAAGGCTGATGACTAAATTTTCAATTGGGCCCTTATTACAACTTAAAACAAAATCAAATTAAAGCTCATTAATTGATTAATTCAAATCATAATTTTGTCAACAAACAATATTTATTGAAGAGCTTCAAATTTTCTTAATTCAATTATTATTTTATGTGAATGTTTCCTAATAAAGAATGTGATTTTAAGCAAATTTTTCATCATCATATCTTTTAAAGAGAGATCATCATTATGATTAACTTTTAAGATCAGTCACATAGTGAAGTGACTTATTTGGACACCACACAATCATCAACTTCAAGTGTCACATATCCAGGCTTTAATTAAGTCATTAGATCTTGATGTCCCTCCAACTATTTTGCAATTAAACTAAGCTATGATTAGTAGTGACAGTATTGATCATTGATTTTGAAGGGATTAAATAATATATTATCAATAAATAATAAATAAATATAAAAAAATATGAAAAAATGAGAGGTCAAATTTGTACATATACAAATACATATATTTAATAATCATTAAGTTTGAGGAGACCAAAATCATAAATATTAATGTAAGTTACTAAACTTTGGGAATAAACATTAAGTTTGAGAGGAGCAAAAACATAAATATTAATGTAAATTATAAAAATTTGGAGAAGGGGGTTCATGACTCCCCTCATCTCCCAAGAAAATCGGTCACTAACAATTTGATATTTCATTGAAACCAATTATTACCCTCGTCATCATACGGTAACTCGAATAAGGCTCCTTTTTAGTGGAAAAATGTGCACCACACCTTTGTTTTCCTCTATCTTTGTACCTTCTAATTCTCGTGCTTGGTTTGTTGACCCGTTCTCCAGGTGTGTTGCGTCCTCCTTAGTTATGCTTATCATTTTTTCCATTTCGTGTCTTTGTATTGTTATTGGTTGTTTATTTTTTTGCTTTTGTGTTTTTGTATTTTTTCTAAAAAGAGTATGGCCGGTAAAGAGATTATGGAAGTAAGTGATGTAACTTTGTATCCCTAGACCAAGACTAAGATTCTCCATGAAACTCTTGAAGCGGTTGAAAAATAGTCAATCTCTTAGTCATTTTGGTAATGATAAGGGTCTAATGTTTCGGTACGCTCATGAGTCTCACATTGCTTAGAGTCGAAGCTAAGATAGTTCATATACATCTACTTCTCAACCAATTGAAGCACCTTTTAAGGATAAGTTGTGATAAACTAATGTTTCCAAATAGACAATATCTCAAACATAGGAATTGAACCCGACAATGTTATGATAGCGAACATGACACCGAGACACTCTCGTTCTTAAACGGAATATTGGCGCCCCGTAGGACTGAGAGCATAGTCTCACTCCACTCATACCCCTTAGTCCTTGATGAGGTGCTTATGTTTCAGTATGCTCAAGAGTAGTTTATATACACCACTTTTCTCAATCCAAGGTGCTCCAAAACAAAAACGATATACCTTAGATATGAGAATTGACTCCAACAATATTGTCATGATACCGAGATACTCTCGTTCTTAGACAAAATATATATATATATATATATATATATATATATATATATATATATATATATAACAATATTATATATTATAATATAACATGTATGTAAAAATATTAAAATAATAATATTTTTTTTAAATTGGATATATTAAAAATTTAAAACTACATTACATTTTACTAAAGCTATTATGTTTTAAAGATAAATTTATAAAAATAATGACATTTTAATTTTTGAAATATTTTAATTGTTATAATAAGAATTTAATATTGTAAATACTTTAATAGTATTGGGGTGTATAAATTAATATATTTTTATGTAATTTTATTCCATTAGTGATATAAAATAGAGTTATAAAAAATGAAGATGTAATATAATAAAGAAAGTTAGTGAACATTTAATCACTATATAATATCAAGAAACATTGATTGATTGACATAAATTATAGCAGCTTTTACCTTTTAATTAAGTGGTTTAAGGTCTAAATCTGGATAATGTCCCTTTAATGGTAAAATCAAATGGTTTTTTTTTTTTATGAAAAATATATTACAAATTAGATTGTAAATTGACTCCAAATTACATTGCAAAATTTATTATTTTATAGATGTAATAGATTGAATTCAATTATATACAAATATACAAAATTTTATTTTGAGAAAGACAAAAACATTTATTTTTCAATTTTATAAAGAAAAAAATTCCCAGTCATAAACTATTTAAAAAAGAAAACGTCAATTGGACCTACGTTTCCTTCAACACTTTGATCCCCAAGCCAACATTATCAATCTTATCCTCTTCGAAGTCCATGGATTGGAAAAATCATTTATTCTCACCTATTAAGATTCCCTTTTCTAAGAGTTTTGCATATTTACTCGTTCTCTTACAAAAATCCTTTTATTCTTAATCATGTTTCCACACAACAACAAAGCCTAATTAATCATATTTTGTCCTTTTTATTCTTAATAATAGTTTTAACGATCCTATGTGAATCAACATCATCAACGTCAGCACAGTCAGGTTGTTTTATTTTGGTTTGATGACCAGAAAAAAAAATAGATTCCATTTGATCGCTAAAGATCTAAATATACTTTAAATCCAATTCCGACGTATCATTATCTACTCCTACTTTTGTATCTTAAATAAGATCATATTCACAACCAATTTTGATGTGCAATAAAATTTTATTGATTTTCTTAATGAATTAATTTCTTGAAGACTAATTTGTTTACGTTAAAAATACCGAATTTGCGAGGACTTCATTTTTTTTCCTGAAGAAACTAATGAAAATTAATATGTGTGTTTATTTTTTTTATAACGCAAGTAAAATATTAAATTAAAAATAATTATTATTATAAAGAGAAAAAAAAAAAAAGTCTTCAATGTTCAACTCTCCTAAAATCAACATAAAAAAAATGAAAAAGAGTTAAAAATTGGGATGGTCTCCGTCAGACAACCTCATCCGAAAGAACACGGAAGCAAAAGACAACAGGGTACCTTCAAATATTTCTGTGAACTAGCACATTCCTGCCACGTCATCGATCCGAGTGACCTTGCGCACAATATATCTTCGGCCGTCGGATAATCATTTTCTGAGTTATTCCTAGCCGTTCATATTCTTGTAAAAGATGAACAAAGGATAGTTAGTAAAAGAGGTATGAAATTTTTTCCTTTATCTTTTTAATTAAATTTATTTCCAATTTTTAATTTATTTATCTTCCTTTAAATTCAATCCTCAGATCTTTGCAAGAGTCATCCATATCATACCCTTCACTTTCCATAAAATTTTTTATCCTTCCTGTGTTAAAGTTTGCAGTTTTTTGGTGGGGTGGGTTAAGGGTACTGTGCAACATCTTCACAACCTGCAACATCAATGGCCACTGAAGAGGTTAACAAACCTCAATCACTTCCTCCATACCCCGAGGTAATTTACACCAAAATTCAGATTTTGAATCTTTTGAGCCAAAATTAAATTTTAGAGCGATTTTCCTGGAAAAGGTGGTAGATTTCTCCCTGATCTAACTGATCTATACATTTTCACTGACTTCGGTTTCTTCTTTTATCTACCAGCTTAATTTTTTAGCACTTTGAAAGCTAAGGTGGGAGAAACTAAATTTTTTGAGGAATTTAAGAAATCAGACAAAAAAGGGTTTAATTTCTTTTGGGTCTCTAATTGTTGTTTTTTTAATCTCGGAAAATCATGACACGAGTTATGAATTTATAACAAAGGTTTTTTTTTTTTTTTTTACTCTTGTATGTTGTTAACTTTGGGTGGTATTGTTGTAGATAATATTGAAAGCACTTGAAGCTCTGGATGAACCTAGTGGATCCAGCAAATCAGCAATATCAAAGTACATAGAATCGACCTATGGTGAGTTGCCAGACTCAACTGTTTTGGGGAATCAACTGAACAAGATGAAAGAGAGTGGAGAGCTTGTGTTCAATAAGAACAACTACATGAAGGCTGACCCAAGTGCCCCACCAAAGAGGGGCCGTGGAAGGCCACCAAAGCCAAAGACCCCTTTGCCACCAGGCACCGTTGTGTCCCCTCCAAGGCCAAGGGGTCGTCCTCCAAAGGACCCAAATGCCCCTCCAAAGTCCCCCAAGCCTAAGGCCACCCCTGGAAGTGGCAGGCCAAGGGGTAGACCAAAGAAGATTTCTCGCTCACCATCGGCGACGGCGGCCCCGGGCGCCGTCTCCAGCGGAAGGCCCAGAGGTAGGCCTCCCAAGGTGAAGCCTCAGTTGACAGAAGTCAGTGTTGAGTCATAGAATTGTTTCTTTATTTGGGTGCCAAATGTAGTGATCCTACTCTGTATAAGTGGTGGTGTGGTCTTAGATTCTGTGTTGATGTAATTTCCTGGTAAAATTATGTAGCGGTAACTGACTTATTAAGAGGCTTTCTTGGTGGTTTTCCTTTCTAATTATCAAAGAGAAAAAGTGACTTGAGCTATTCCATGTTGTATTGTCATGTTGTAACTTGAAAACCCATGATACTATGGAAGGAGAGAAGACAAAGAAAAGGTTATTATTTCAGACTTTAAACGTGGTTAATAAAAATGTTAACACCCCTTATACATTTAAAACAAGGGAATGGGTCAACGTACCCTGTCCCTAGATAAAGAAAAAGGAGAAACTGGTGATGATGTAATAAATTTGACTCTATGCTAGATATCTGGACATCAACCTATGGAAGAACCTCGTACGACACAATCTATATTCCCATGTTTCTGTTGATAAGACCTCTTCAGTGTGGTGCCAAGTCGTTGTTGTTTCCTTGAGGGGAGAATTAATCTGGCCTGGTTTGACCACTAGCCTAGTGGATGTGTGTTATCTATCCATGCTCTAACCATCACAGTGACATAAATTGTTACTATCAACAATGTAATTGATCTGCTTCGTCACTATTTTGATTTAAAATTCGGGTTATGAAAGGCCAAATCCAATTGAGATTCAATTTTGCAGTTGTATTACTATTTTTGTCGTTATGGTTATCAATGTTTCTGATTCACTTCCTGTTATAATTTCTTTACCGAGTTGTTGTTGTTGTGTAAGTTACTCTCATCTAAATATTGAGTTATGAGACTATATGTTAGATGCCAACAAAGAATGTGATGTCCAATACTTTTTTTTTTCAATTGTCTTTATCTTTAATGTGTTGGTTGAAAAATTTTAAACGAAAATTATTTTCTTAGATGATTATTTATGATTGATAAGTATCACTTTCCATCTATATATATATATATATATATATATATATATATATATTTAAAAGAAAATTAAATATTTAGCTAAACTAATTTGTTAGATAATTACTTGTAATTAAAATACATAAGTAGCATTTAGAAAGTCTGGTCCCTCTCAAACTTCTTGAAATAAAACTTTATCAATGGAATCAAATCAATCATATTTATTGCATCAAGACACCTTACCCAAATTTGGGCATGTCACAAATTATCATATTTTTCTCCACCTTATATATAATTCATAGCTCAAACTCAAGTTTCAAGCAACATCACATTCATAATATAATATACCACCACATATATACAAACTTTTAAATTGAGGATAATAAATCAATGCGAAAAAATATAACAATTCAACTCATTTGATTCAGTAACTTATTATACAAAAATTATAATCAACCTAAGCTACGTATGAAATAAATATTTATAACAATGTTATAGTGAAAAGATAAATGTAAAATTAAAAGGAGTTAATTTTTTTTAATGATAATATAAAATCATTTTTTTTAATACTACTAATATGGAGCATTTGTTGAAACTTTTATTCGATTAAAATATTTTACATATAAATTAAAAAAAAAACTAGTTGATGATGACAAATATCAATTTAATATACGTTAAATTTATGTAATGATATAATTTTATTTTCTACTTAAATTACTTATATTTTAGATTATATAGATAATAATACTACGATTTGTAAATATATATTGTTTTAGTTACCTTAAATGAAAGTTATAAATATATTTCCGTTTTTATATGTTTATTTTTGTTTAATAAATCAAGTAATTATTAAAAAATATATATTTATAAATGTTATGTTTCCAATTTTCATTTATTAATGTTTTGATATTATTTAAATTTTTAAATTTGTTAATTTATTTGTTTACTTAATTTTATATATATATATATATATATATATATATATATATATATATATATATATATATAATACAATTGTGGTATTTTTTTATTTTTTAAAAATATCATTCATAACCTAAACACTATTTTTTATTTTCAAAGACACTAGAATATAATAGTTTTCAAAGTAATTTCACAAATATATCTTAAAATATAATAATTTATTCTAATAAAGTATGTTAAATTTTCGTTAACATTAATATTTAACTCAAATTTGTTTCTAAAGTTGAAATTTTAGACTATTGGTTAGAAAAAAGAGAGTTAAAACTTCAATGTAAATATGTATATTACAAGGTTTCAAACAAAAAATAGTCTACGTACTCAACATTACAAGATACGAAAGATTATTTACATAAATTCAACAATACAAGATGCATTATATAAGTCTTGACTTAGATTATACATAATCTATATTTAGACACGAGAAATTATCTAAATCTAAATAGAAGAAACATTGTATTTTTAACGGTTTTGAAGAAAGATTATTTACAAAATTAAAACAAGACCAATACTATCAAAAGTGCTTTTGAGCATAAAAGCGTAGAATAGCATATCTCTTTTAATACATGTCAATCTATTATACTAAGTTAGAGATAATTACTTAGCAATAAAAATGAACAAAATTGATTGTATTAGTCTCTTACCAAGAAACTAGTTAGTGAAAACATTAAAACTTTGAATCGTGAATAATAATTACCTCAACTGTGTTGAGGACCACCACTGTACTTAGGACCACCAGTGTGCAATTAAGGAAACTCAAATTTAGTGGCCCAAATTAGATACAGCTTTTTTAGTTGTCGCAGATTTCATGATAAAAATCTCAACCCTATTTCTATTCCTAACTGTGCCAAAAACTTTACTTTTGTTATGACAGAATCCTGAACCAAGTTCATGCCAAAAGTGAGTTATAAATGAAAAAACAGAGTTATCTGGTACAAAAATTTAGTTTGTTTAGATACTTAGAACTACTTTTCCCAACACGTAATTTATGAAATAGCATGGTGGTGATCGAAATTAGATCCAAAGTGAATCTAGCAACAACTCAACCTCGAGGGGTTAAACATAAAGCAATCATACATAATAAATATCAGTAATCTTAACGGTAAAAGTCAAACACGGTATAGATGAATCCCATTTGGATTCACCCTTTGCTGACCCAAAATTTTAATTCCAAAATGTGATTAACAGTTACGTTCCAAACTCTACAAATCCATTTATTTGACCAATGACACAAGGTACCAAGCACAAGGTTAGAGGTCAAACCAGGGGCAGAGAATTTCCCCCACCAGGGAAACAGGCTTGTTATCACACTGAAAAAGTCTTATCAACGGAAACATGGGAATGTAGACTGTATCGTACTGTTGATGTCCAAGTATCTAACCCAGTCAAATTTATTACATCACCTTAATCTTCTCCTTTCCCTATCTATAGAGATGATTTACTTTCTGAATAAAAGTAGACAATTTGGTTTAGAGAATAAAAAGAAGAGATCAAAAGGGGAAGACAATGAGCATACGAAGAAATTACAGGTGAGTGATAAGTAAATATTCAGAAAAAAAAAAAACTCATAATGAACCATATTACCCTATATTAAATGTTCAAACATGTGTGTTTTTTTTTTCACTGTAAACATGATCAATGATTTTTTTGTTTACTTATTAAAAACTAATATTAACTAAGATTTTTCTGTTCTACTTACTTATCAATCAATTTTTTTTCACTTATTTATTCCTTTCTTTTTACTTCATATCCCTCTGTTTCAAGTGGTGTTAAATGTGCACTGATCACATAACTGAAGTAAAACTTGAAACAACATGTTGTCCTTCCAAAAGTTAGAAAATTTTGAGCACAAGAAAAACCAAATCACAATTAGTTCAAGTCACTGTTCTCTTTTATAACTAGAAAATCCTTGAAAACCTAGTAATCAACTAGCTACAGCTGCATAATCTTACAATGGAATTACACCAACACAATATCTAAACCCACACCCACCAGTTCTAAACAGCATTTCACTTTTACACTTGACACCAAAAGAAAGAAACCATTTTATATCTCAACACTGACTTCTGTCAACTGAGGCTTCACCTTGGGAGGCCTACCTCTAGGCCTTCCACTGGATACGGCGGCCGGAGTCACCGTCGCCGTAGAACGATGAATCTTCTTTGGTCTGCCCCTTGGCCTGCCACTTCCAGGGGTGGCCTTAGGGTTGGGGGACTTTGGAGGGGCATTGGGGTCCTTTGGAGGACGACCCCTTGGCCTTGGAGGGGACACAACGGTGCCTGGTGGCAAAGGGGTCTTTGGCTTTGGTGGCCGTCCACGGCCCCTCTTTGGTGGGGCACTTGGGTCAGCCTTCATGTAGTTGTTCTTATTGAACACAAGCTCTCCACTCTCTTTCATCTTGTTCAGTTGATTCCCCAAAACAGTTGAGTCTGGCAACTCACCATAGGTCGATTCTATGTACTTTGATATTGCTGATTTGCTGGATCCACTAGGTTCATTCAGAGCTTCAAGTGCTTTCAATATCATCTACAACAACGACAACATTAAGCACAACCCAAAGTAAACAACATACAAGTGTCATAAAGACGAAAGTCTCTTTCAGCAACAGAGTCGCTGTATTGTGAAAACCCTTTTTGCGCATGGACTTGGAAGAAAACCAAACACTCAATATGAATTGAGGTAAAACTCGTTAGAAGCCAAAAAGGGACACCCTTTTTTCACTGTTTGCTTGAATTGCTTAAAAAAACCCTAATTTCTGTTGTAAAAAAACCGCTAAGAATTTATAGTGGGGGGCCAAAACAAGAAAACCTTGTCAGTAAAAATGACAGATCAATTAGATCAGTGTGAAATCAATCAACTTTAGTAGGAAATTTGTTCTAAAAATTCAATTTAAAGAAAATAAAAGGAATTTTAATTGATTTGAAATACCTCAGGATATGGAGGAAGCGATAGAGGATTATTAACCTCTTCAGTAGCCATCGAAGTTGAAGGTTTTGTAGAAGTTTCCGCTTGCACAGTACTTCAAACCCCACGAAAAACAGAAACTTCAACAGAAGAAGGGTCAATTTTTTATTTTATTTTTTTCAGAAAAGTGAAGGGGAGGAT